CCAAAGCTTCAGACACAGCCCACTGGTTTCCTTTGGGAATGGCCCCCTGCAGGGGCCTTCTCTGCCCAGGGTCCCCTTTCACAATAGTCAGTTCTGCTCCCTACCTGGGAGCTGGGCCTGGCTCCCTGAGCCTCTGCCTATAGGTATACACCTACAGGAAGGTCCCTGCAGAGAGAAGGGCCAGAGTTCAGGTGATAGGCCCAAGCCTGAGAGTTCTAAATACTCAGAGAAGGTAGTCAGGACAGAGGAGCCCCCAGCTAGGCCGCAGGCAGGGTATCAGGCCACAGTTGGTAAGCTCCCACCTCCTCCACTGGTTGGACAGCCCCCACCTCACCAGCCCCCACCCTGTCCTTGCCTTGTGTTTCGGGACTCGGCTCTCTGCCCAGAAACCAACAGCAGAAAAGGGAACTTGAGGAGCATCATGCCACCCAGTTTCAGTCTCATTCTTAGTGTATGTGAAGGAGTGGGCAGAATCAACGTTCTGGGGAAGAGGCCAGGGGCAACCAGGGATAAGCACCCAGGCACCAGACTGTAAGAGAGGGGCCAACAGAACTGGGGCAGCCAACAGGCACAGGGAATGGAAGCCCTGAACCATCCCTCACAGGTCCAGGCCCAAGCAAGGTCATGAGCCAGGAGCAGAACAGGCAGGTAAGGTGGGTCCAGATATGAGCAGTACAAGATGGAAAGTTTGGGAGCAGGGGGACAAGCTCGAGTCAGGAGGACAGCGGGACAAGAGCTCAGGGCAGAACACCAGCTGTTCTGGCAGGAAGTCATGAGGAAGGATCTGGTGGAGGAGAGAGTGGGGGTGACAAAAAATCGCTTCATATGCAGTAAGGGCAGCAGAGTTGTGGAGCTATTCTGCAAAAGCAGGCATAGGCTTGGTGCTGTGGTGGGGGGCAGTTGACAGCATACCGGCGTATGTTCAAGGGCATGCAGACTGAACCAATACAAGCAACCAATACAGTTACATGTGAGCAGGACCCAGAGGGAGGGCTGGGCAAGCCCAGGAGGCTCAGGAGCACAGCACCAGTCGAGAACAGTTACAGGTGAGCAGGGCCCAGAGGGAGGGCTGGACAAGCAGGGACAGGCCCAGGAGCCCAGCACCAGGCCAGAGCAGTTACAGGTGAGCAGGGCCCGGAAGGAGGGCTGGACAAGCAGGGACAGAACCAGGGACAGGCCCAGGAGCCCAGCACCAGGCCAGAGCAGTTACAGGGCCCGGAGGAAGGACTGGACAGACAGGGACAGGCCCAGGAGCCCAGCGCAGGTCGAGAACAGTTACAGGTGAGCAGGACCCGGAAGGAGGGCTGGACAAGCAGCGACAGGCCCAGGAGCCCAGCACCAGGCCAGAGCAGCAAGCAGTGAGCAGGGACTACAGGGAGGACTGGACAAGCAAGGACAGGCCCAGGGACAGGAGCCCAGCATCAGGCCAGAGCAGTTACAGTGAGCAGGGCCTGGAGGAAGGGTTGGACAGGCACGGACAGGCCCAGAGGCTGGCACCAGGCCAGAAAAGCTAGCAGTGAGCAGGGACTACAGAGAGGGTTTGACAAGCAGGGACAGGCCCAGGAGCCCAGCACCAGGCCAGAGCAGCTAGCAGTGAGCATGAACCCAGAGGGAGGACTGGACAGGCAGAGACAGGCCGAGGAGCCCAGCACCAGGCCAGAGCAGTTACAGGGCCCGGAGGAAGGACTGGACAAGCAGGGACAGGCCCAGGAGCCCAGCGCAGGTCGAGAGCAGTTACACGGGAGCAGGGCCCGGAGGGAGGGCTGGACAGGCAGGGACAGAACCAGGGACAGGCCCAGGAGCCCGGCACCAGGCCAGAGCAGCTAGCAGTGAGCAGGACCCGGAAGGAGGGCTGGACAAGCTGGTACAGGCCCAGGAACCCAGCACTAGGCCAGAGCAGCTAGCAGTGAGCAGGACCCGGAAGGAGGGCTGGACAAGCAGGGACAGGCCGAGGAACCCAGCACCTGGCCAGAGCAGTTACAGGTGAGCAGGGCCCGGAAGAAGGGCTGGACAAGCAGGGACAGGCCGAGGAGCCCGGCACCAGGCGAGAGCAGCTAGCAGTGAGCAGGGCCCGGAGGGAGGGCTGGACAAGCAGGGACAGGCCGAGGAGCCCAGCACCTGGCCAGAGCAGTTACAGGTGAGCATGGACTACAGGGAGGACTGGACAAGCAGGGACAAGCCCAGGAGCCCAGCACCAGGCCAGAGCAGTTACAGGTGAGCAGGACCCGGAAGGAGGGCTGGACAAGCAGCGACAGGCCCAGGAACCCAGCACCAGGCCAGAGCAGCTAGCAGTGAGCATGGATCCGGAGGGAGAGAGGGGACTGGACAAGCAGGGACAGGCCCAGGAACCCAGCACCAGGCCAGAGCAGTTACAGGTGAGCAGGGCCCGGAGGGAGGGCTGGACAAGCAGGGACAGGCCGAGGAGCCCAGCACCAGGCCAGAGCAGTTACAGGTGAGCATGGACTACAGGGAGGACTGGACAAGCAGGGACAAGCCCAGGAACCCAGCACCAGGCCAGAGCAGCTAGCAGTGAGCAGGACCCGGAAGGAGGGCTGGACAAGCAGGGACAGGCTCAGGAGCTTGTCTCAGGCCAGAAAAGCTAGCAGTGAGCAGGGACTACAGGAGGACTGGACAAGCTGGTACAAGCCCAGGAGCCCAGCACCAGGCCAGAGCAGTTACAGGTGAGCAGGACCCGGAAGGAGGGCTGGACAAGCAGCGACAGGCCCAGGAACCCAGCACCAGGCCAGAGCAGCTAGCAGTGAGCATGGATCTGGAGGGAGAGAGGGGACTGGACAAGCAGGGACAGGCCCAGGAACCCAGCACCAGGCCAGAGCAGTTACAGGTGAGCAGGGCCCGGAGGGAGGGCTGGACAAGCAGGGACAGGCCCAGGAGCCCAGCACCAGGCCAGAGCAGTTACAGGTGAGCATGGACTACAGGGAGGACTGGACAAGCAGGGACAAGCCCAGGAACCCAGCACCAGGCCAGAGCAGCTAGCAGTGGGCATAGACCCGGAAGGAGGGCTGGACAAGCAGCGACAGGCCCAGGAACCCAGCACCAGGCCAGAGCAGTTACAGGTGAGCAGGGCCCGGAGGGAGGGCTGGACAAGCAGGGACAGGCCGAGGAGCCCAGCACCAGGCCAGAGCAGTTACAGGTGAGCATGGACTACAGGGAGGACTGGACAGGCAGGGACAGGCCCAGGAGCCCGGCACCAGGCGAGAGCAGCTAGCAGTGAGCAGGACCCAGAAGGAGGGCTGGACAAGCAGGAACAGGCTCAGGAGCTTGTCTCAGGCCAGAAAAGCTAGCAGTGAGCAGGGACTACAGGAGGGCTGGACAAGCAGGTACAGGCCCAGGTGCCCAGCACCAGGCCAGAGCATCTAGCAGTGAGCAGGGCCCAGAGAGAGGACTGGACAAGCTGGTACAATCCCAGTAGCTCAGCACCAGGCTAGAGCAGTTACAGGTGAGCAGGGACTACAGGAGGGCTGGACAAGCAGGGACAAGCCCAGGAGCACAGCACCAGGCCAGAGCAGCTAGCAGTGAGCATGGACCCGGAAGGAGGGCTGGACAAGCAGGTACAGGCCCAGGAACCCAGCACCTGGCCAGAGCAGTTACAGGTGAGCAGGACCCGGAAGGAGGGCTGGACAAGCAGGGACAGGCCGAGGAACCCAGCACCTGGCCAGAGCAGTTACAGGTGAGCAGGGCCCGGAAGAAGGGCTGGACAAGCAGGGACAATCCCAGTAGCTCAGCACCAGGCTAGAGCAGTTACAGGTGAGCAGGGACTACAGGAGGGCTGGACAAGCAGGGACAAGCCCAGGAGCCCAGCACCAGGCCAGAGCAGCTAGCAGTGAGCATGGACCCAGAGGGAGGGCTGGACAAGCAGGGACAGGCCCAGGAGCCCAGCCCCAGGCCAGAGCAGCTAGCAGTGAGCATGGACCCGGAAGGAGGGCTGGACAAGCAGGGACAGGCCCAGGAGCCCAGCACCAGGCCAGAGCAGCTAGGAGTGAGCAGGGACTACAGGGAGTACTGGACAGACATGGACAGGCCGAGGAGCCCGGCACCAGTCGAGAACAGTTGATTGTGAGCAGAGTGAGAGAAGGGCTGGACGGATAGGAGGACGTGTGGGAATCCAGGACCAGGCCTGAGTAGTTAGCAGTGAGCAGGGGCTCACCACAGAGCTGGACAGGCAGGGACAGGCCCAGGAGTCTGGGACCAGGACCCAAACAGCTAGCAATTCTGCAGGAGTGAGAGGAAGGCTCAGCAGGTAGTTACAGGATCCGGTTTCTGGCACCAGGGCCATACCATGTAGCAGTGAGCAGGCACTGGTGATGGTGCCCACTGAAGACCTTGTTGCGGGCTATGGAGTGCCCAGGAAGGGATGTGACGGCTGTCTGTGAGGACAGCTGAGGCTCAGATAGCCCAGGTGGCCCCCTCCATGCAGGTGACAGGAAACTGAGCTGGGGATCCTGTGGACAGCTGGCCAGAGTCACCACCACTCAGGGAGCCAGCCAAGCCAGCCAGCGTCAGGGCCTGGGCTTGCAGCGCCCCTGGGGATTTGCCTGTGAGTGTGGGCAGCTGCCTTAGAGCCCAGGTTTGCAGTGTCAGTGGCACACCCAACAGGGACATCCAGGCCAGGAAACTGAGCATCTATGGAGATGGGTAGTGTCCTCTGTGCTGTGGAGTGTGGGGGCTGGGCTGGCTCTCAGGAACCTTCTAGAAGGAAAGCCCTTCTAGGAGAGAGGGTGGAGCAGGAGGGGCAGGCCTGGACAGGCTATGATTCCCTCAGCAGCTGAGTGTGCAGAGCAAACCCATCAGAGGTACAAGGCCAACCCCTACAGGTGGAGCCCTGATGCCCTCAGCCTGACAACAGGCCTACCTGAACCCCAGGGAGAGTCTCCAGGGCAGGACCCCAGGGAAGGCAGGACCCCAGCGAGGGGCCTTCCAACAGGACCCCAGGGAGGAGTCTCCGGGACAGGACTCACTCTGCCCCTCTCTCTCTCTTGCAGTCCAGACCAAGGCTCCGTCTGTCTTCCCTCTGGCCCCCTGCTGTGGGGACACAGCTGGCTCCAAGTTGACCCTGGGCTGCCTGGTCAAAGGCTACTTCCCTGAGCCAGCCACCGTGACCTGGAACTCGGGCGCCTTGACCAGTGGAGTGCGCACCTTCCCATCCGTGCTGCAGTCCTCAGGTCTCTACTCTCTGAGCAGCATAGTGAGCGTGCCAGCCAGCACCCAATCTGTCACCTGCAATGTAGCCCACCCAGCCAGCAGCACCAAGGTGGACAAGATCGTTGGTGAGAGTGGGCACTGGGAGGTGGGCCCAGGGCAGGGGCTTCTGTCTTCCACCACAGCCAGGTGCTGGCCACCTGCTCCAGAGGAGCTTGGCCTGGCCTGAGTCCACCCCATGGGCCAGTCTCTCCAGGACACAGTAACACAGTCTCTTTCTTTCTCTCTCTCTCTCCCTCCTCTCTCTGTGCAGCAGCAGGCTCAACATCAACATGCTCTACCACAACCCCATGCCAGTGCCCATGCCCAGGTGAGTCCGTGTGTCGTGCTTCTCTACCCCCATCTCGGGCTGGGCTGCTCACCACCCCTGCCACCTGGTGCTAATTCTCATCCATCTCCCACAGGACCTGATTTTCTAGGGGGACCATCTGTCTTTATCTTCCCCCCAAAGCCCAAGGATACCCTCATGATCTCACACACTCCTGAGGTCACGTGTGTGGTAGTGGACGTGAGCCAGGACGACCCTGAGGTTGAATTCACATGGTATGTGAACAACCAGGAGGTGCACACAGCCCGGCCATCACAGAAGGAGCAGCAGTTCAACAGCACGCTCCGAGTGGTCAGCACCCTGCCCATCGCACACCAGGACTGGCTTAAGGGCAAGGAGTTCAAATGCAAAGTGCAAAACAAGGCACTACCTGCCCCCATTGAGAGGAGCATCTCCAAGGCCAGAGGTGGGGCTGCGGGCCTGGGAGTAGGCAGGCAGCTGGAGAGTCCAGTGCCCAGGAGTAAACCCTGTGCTGTTCTCTGCCCCCACAGGGCAGGCCCTGGAGCCGAAGGTCTACGTACTGGCCCCCTCCCGGGATGAGCTGAATGACAGGCTGGTGAGCGTGACCTGTCTGATCAGAGGCTTCTACCCTCCCGACATCTCGGTGGAGTGGCAGAAGAACGGAAAGCCAGAGGACTTCTATAGGAACACGCCACCCGTGCTGGACAGCGATGGTTCCTACTTCCTCTACAGCAAGCTCACGGTGCCCACTAGTTCCTGGCAGTCTGGCACCACCTATGCCTGCTCCGTGATGCACGAGGCCCTGCACAACCACCTCACCCAGAAGTCCATCTCCCACTCTCCGGGTAAATGAGCGCTGGCCGGCAACCCCATCCCATGTACGCACTTCTCAGCACCCGCACACAATAAAGTGCCCAGCTCTGCCCTCAGAGGCTGTCCTGGTTCTTTCGAGGCAGTGGCTTCTGTTCAGGCCCTGAGCCGGCTCAGGTGGCCCAGGCGACGCCTGCTCTGAGCAGTCAGCACTGGGGCCTGGGCTGACCCAAGAGCTAGACTCAGCCAGGGGTGCCTGCACAGGCTCCCCAGGCCCTCCTTGTGGCCAGCAACATGCAGGCTGGGCAGGCAGGAGCAGCTAGCTTCCATCTCTGCCAGAGCCCACATGGCTGTGTGCAGAGTGCTACCTGACCGTGGACACAGGGACAGGCCTGCCATGGCCCCACACTGCTCCCACACCTACCCAGCCTCCCCCATGTGAGGCCTCACAGCCCCCAGGGATGGACAGGCTCACACTCCTACCTGGACACAGAGCCCAGATCCATTCAAAGAAGCCCCTCCTGGCTGCTGGCCCCCATCCTGCACACACGTCACACTGGGGCCTTGCTTGGGGTCTGCCGAACATTCAACACACACACATACATGCAACACACCGCACACTGGGGCTTTGCAACACACACACATGTGCCACACCTCACACTGGGGCCTTGCTTGGGGTCACCTGGACCTGCAACACACAGGCACACGCATGTAAATCATTCACATACTAGGGCCTTGCCTGGGGTTACCTGCATGCGCAACACACATGCACACACGTGTACATGCCTCACACTGGGGCCTTGCTTGGGGTCACCTGGACCTGCAACACACAGGCACACGCATGTAAATCATTCACATACTAGGGCCTTGCCTGGGGTTACCTGCATGCGCAACACACATGCACACACGTGTACATGCCTCACACTGGGGCCTTGCTAGGGGTCACCTGGACCTGCAACACACATGCACGCGCATGTAAATCATTCACATACTAGGGCCTTGCCTGGGGTTACCTACATGCACACATGTGTACATGTAACATACTGGGGCCTTGCTAGGGGTCACCTGAACATGCAACACACAGGCACACGCATGTAAATCATTCACATACTAGGGCCTTGCCTGGGGTTACCTGCATGCACAACACACATGCACACATGTGTACATGCCTCACACTGGGGCCTTGCTTGGGCACATGCACTCGTAACACACATGAGAGCTGACACAGGGGGTATCCGTACAGTACTTAGACCTGAGCCAGGTGTCTGCTCTCATACACACTAATATGGACACCCCAGGCTTCCCCTCCATGTCCACCTGCTGCCCAGCCTCCCATCCAAGGGACACCCACACTGCGCCCCCCTCTAGGCTTCCCTTTGCCATGGCCAGGTCACAGTAGACATGGACAAAACCACCCTCTTGAGCTTCAGGGCCTGGACACCCCGGGGACAGGAGAGGGCTCAGGCAACCTCAGTGCCACTGCCCTGCAGAAATGCAGCAGACAGAGGGGGCACAGCTGCAAGCCAGGTGACCATGCAGGGTGAGATGTCCAGCCAGGCCAGGCCCAGGCGGGAGGAGTTGGGGAGCTTTCCCCACAGGTGCCACTGCCCACCCTACCCAGTCCTTCCTTCCTCCTGGACCTCCTGAATCCCAGCCCCAGAGGGAGGTGCCCCCAGGTCTTTCATGGTAACACACACACTGACTGCTCCTCCTCACCCAGAGCTGCAGCTGCACCTGCAGCTGGACGAGAGCTGTGCCGAGGCCCAGGACGGGGAACTGGACGGGTTGTGGACTACCATCACTGTCTTCATCTCCCTCTTCCTGCTCAGCGTGTGCTACAGTGCCACAGTCACCCTGTTTAAGGTGGGACTATCTGACAGGTGGGCTGGGTGGGCTGGGCTCTCCTCACCCCAAGCCTCCATCCTCACCCCAGACCTACATCACTGCAGGTCAAGTGGATCTTCTCATCTGTGGCAGACCTGAAACGTACCATCGCCCCTGACTACAGGAACATGATTGGGCAGGGAGCCTAGGCACCTCCCAGACCAGCTGGGCATCCCTACTCTGATATGGCCACCCTGGACCCTCACCTCTGGAAAAGCTTGCTGGTGCCTACATAGCAGCCGTAGCAGGGAGCCGTGTCAGGTCCCATGCCAGGCCACCCACCCTGAAGCCAGTTCAACCGCCAGCCTCCTGGGTATGGGACTTAAGCCCATTTTCTGGGTTCCCAGTGATGATACCTGCTGTCCAACCTTCCAGAAGCCTGGAACATCTTGCACCCCTGGTCCTTGGCTGGCCAACCTCCAAATGGGCTCTCCCTGGACCCCAGCCTGAGACCCAGGCTGCTTCTCCCACAGCTCCTCCACAGAGGTTTCCAAGCTGGGCTGCCCTCCAGGGTATCCTGTGCCCTAACCATGGTGCACAGAGGTCCCAGTTCTTCTCCAAGGGAGCAGTTTGGAGAACGGCCTGCCTGGCCACGTGGCACCACAAAGACCCTGCCACAAGCCAGAGCAGATGGTGTCATGAACAAGCAGGAGTAGGGTAATCAGGTCCCAGGAAGCCAACACTGCCTGGCAGAGGGAGAAGCTGAGGAGAGCCAGGCAAAGAGGGCACAGCTGGGCCCCCCTGCAACCCTGTTCTGGGCTGTGTGTACCTCAGGGCAGGGGCAACCTGTCCAAGGTGTGGCACAGGCCGAGGCTGCCTCACCCCACGCCCTTAGACAGACATGAAGAAGCCACCAGCAGAAGACAGCTGTACATGCCTGCCTGGACATCATTAGCATTATCAGTGTCTGACAGGAAGCATCCTGGGACCACTCCTGTCGCCTCACCAGCCAGCCAGGCCAGCCAGGGCAGCCTCTACCCGCCCCTGCCTGCAGGATCTTCCCCCCTGGACACTGCATGCCCTGTTCCATCCACACAGCAGCTCTCCCTGCGGAGACTGGGAACCAGGGGACCAAGCACAGGAATCCCAGCCACCAGCCACCTCAGCCTGGGGTCTCCCTGTTACTCCCTTAAAGATCTGAATGAAACTCCTGGTTCCTGGATTCAGACTGGTCCAGTTCTGGCCATTGTGGCCAGTTGGGGAGTGAACCAGCAGATAGAAGATCTCTGTGTCTCTCCATCTCTGTAACTCTGCCTTTCAATAAAACTAAATAAATCATTTTTAAAAGAAAAAGAGATAGCTAAAGCAAATCTCAGACCTCACGGTGGGGCTTAGGTTTGACAAGGAGGGTGCAAAGCACAGTGCAGCCCTGAAGATGGCACACAGCACCCCCTGCCCAAGGCCTCTACAGGAGCCATAGAGCTTGGTATGGACATCAGGGTGCATGTCAGAGCCCATGCAACAACATGGGTCACACAACACAGCACACAATGCATAGCATAGGACACGTGCCACATAGCTCACAGTAGATAACATTTAACTCATATAACATGGACACAATACATAACAAGTAACAGTGTAACACGAAACATAACATGTAACAACATGTAACACAAAGCATGCAACATGTGACACAAGTAACATTTAACCAGTAACATAACACATAAATGGGGGCTACCTGTCTCAGTGTATCTTGGCTCTGTGGGGCTCCAAGCCAACCCTGGAGACCCTCAGCCTGGGGTCCATTGCTAGCAGTCCTGGCTCCACCCCCTCCCCAGAGGGGCAGCCAGCACTGCAGCTTCAGGGTGCCCTGTGTGGGGCAGTAGTGAGGTTCCTCCAAGGCAGAGGCCCATGTGCTCTAAGCAGCCATGGGGGACTCGCTGCCTTTTTGGCCCATGGGTATCACTCACCTGGAGAGGGGGTTGGAGAAACCCCACCCAGGAAGACAAGGATGGAATCAATGCAAACAGGGACAGCTAACAAGTTGGCAGAGACTCAGCTCACAGCCATGAATGGTGCTTCACCAACCCATGGTCGTGAGCAACGACCACAGCTGACACGGACAGGCCACCGCTGGGCTCTGCCTCATGAGGATGCAGCCCTAACATATGGCCCCTGAGCACAGGGGATGAGGCCCAGCTCCTTCACCAGCTCAAAGCCAGGCCTGGACTTCTCTGGAGGCCGGGATACCTCGGGCCAGGCCAGGGCTGTGGTGGGAGCTGGAGGAGCCACGCACTCAGGGTGGGGTGGTGGGACACTGGCCAGTGCTGCCCAGCACAGTACTAAGCAGCTACACTGTGGCCCCTGGGTGCCTACAAAGACACCTACCTTTGAAGTGGAAATGCAGACTATTGGGCTCCAGGAGCTGAGAGTGTCTGCTGGACTGGGCTCCAGGAGTCGAGAGTGTGTGCTGAGCCAGACTCTAGGAGCCAAGAGTGCCCCCAGGGGTCCCAGGGACAGGAGCAACTTCCCAACATCCTGCTCCTCCATGCCAGCCAACTGCAACCAGAGGATGGAAGAGAGGGCCCCTTCATAGTTAGGCAAGGGCCTTAAGAAAGATGAGGCCACCCTAGGCTGGGGCCTCTCCAAGGGAGAGACAAGAAGGACATACTGGGGCTGAGAGCCCAGAGCAGCCCGGTCAAGACAAGAGCAGCCTGGGGGCCATGGGAACCCCCCTGCAGCAGCCTCGCCATCACTGGTGCAACATCAGCCTGGAGGGAGCCTGGGCCAGCCTGCAGACACAAGCCACACAAGCAAGCCACACAAGAACAGCAATCTCAACACACATATGCACATACAAGTAGAAACAGATACATAACAGATGGACTAATCTCAGCACATGTGAACATATAAACACACATGCAGATATACGGAGACACACAGCACACACTGCAAAGATGTCAGCACACACAGGCACACACATGCAGATACAGGGAGACACACAGCACACACTGTAAAGATCTCAGCACACACAGACACACACATGCAGATACACGGAGACACACACATGCAGATACATGGAGACACACAGCACACACTGTAAAGATCTCAGCACACACAGACACACACATGCAGATACAGGGAGACACACACATGCAGATACACACAGGCACACACTGCATAGATCTCAACACACAGGCACACACATGCAGATACAGGGAGACACACACATGCAGATACACGGAGACACACAGCACACACTGCAAAGATCTCAGCACACACATGCACACACAGACACACACTGCATAAATCTCAACACACAGGCACACAACACACACTGCATAGGTCTCAGTACACACAGGCACACACAGACACACATTACACATGCATGCAGTGACATCAACGACACACACAGATGTGTGCACAGCTAGGTTAGGGGCAGAACCTTGCCCGGGATAAGCAGTCAAGCTCTGTGGGACCACAGCACAGGAAGCCGGACATGGAGCAGGGCCACAACCCCCACCATTGGGAGACTCCTGGCAGAGTGGTGAAAGGGCAGGGCAAGAGGGCTGCCCGAGTAGTTTTGCCAGGCCTCAGAGGAGAGAGGAGCCAAGGGCAATTCCTGGGCACCTGGCAGGGCTGCCAACAGGTGGGAGGAAACAGCTGAGGCAAAGACCATGCATGGAGCTTGGTGTGGGCACCCAGCGAGGAGCAGATCTGGGGTCTCGCTGGCATCTGCTGTAGGCACCTGAGGGGACAGAGGGCCCTGGATCCAAGGGCAGCAGAAGCTGAACACAGAGTCCAGATGGACGCTACCCCAGCTTGGCACATGCTGGGGAGCCTACAGCGTGGGGGAGTAGGAGGCTGCCTGGACCACACAGGACCATGCACAGGCCAGCTGAGACTTCCAGGATCCCAGGGGTGACATCTGTTAGCCCAACCCTTGTCAGTGCCCCTGCAATGTCTACCCCCTTCCACCACCCTAGCCCCATGACTACCCCAGCATGATAGAGCGTGAACAAGGCCTCCCCCTTCCCTCACTGGCCAGACAGCTAGGTAGCCAGGCCTAGGGCAGCATTTGTGAGTGGGCACAGGGCCAGGTCCCCACCACACTGTGCTGTGCCACAGCCCAGCAGAGAGCAGGGCCTCCTTCACCAGGCCTGGGCACAGTCGACAGCCACGGCCGGTCCTGCCACTGCCATACCTGCATGTGCTGGGTCAGAGCCTGAAGCAGGACAGCCCCTCCCCCCAACGCCCTGCGGTCCTCCACCGACTTCCCAAGAAGAGAGAGCAGATGACTTCCGGGGGGTTTCCACCCTCAGTTTAGCTGAGGGCACAGAGGCACAACTCCCCTCCCCCAAAGCCAGCACCTAGGCATAAAAATAACAAGGACAATTGGAGAGTCACACACCTAAGATTGGCAGGGACCAGCGCGGGCAGACCAGACAGGACTGCTGGCCACAGGCACTGGGTGGGACTTAGTCCTCAGGCACCCAAGATTGTGGGGAGTCCTAACAGCATGCCTGAACCCTGATTCAGAGCGCGTCCTGCACTGCCCTTGGTCACTGAGCATCCTTCGACTGTCCCTTTCCTGCACACAGCTACACACAGCCTCAGACTGCCCTGGAGAGCATGGGGCCACGGATACCACCAGGCACAGACAGGGCCGGGCCAGGCCCACCAAGGGCACAGCAGACACAGCTCGGAGCCCCAGGCTGGGTGAGAATAAACTCTAACCAGCCAGGCCTGGACACCGGTGACAGCAAGGAGTTGCCCTGCGCTACTGGTGATACAGCTGGGCTGTCCCACCTGGACGAAGCCGGCCTGAGCTGGGCAGAGCTGGACTAGGCTGGGCTGAGTTGGGCAGAGCTGGGCTAGGCTGGGCTGAGCTGGGCTGGATTAACCTGGAATGAGCTGCCCTCAACTGCTGTAGACAATGTTTGGCTGAGCTGAGTTGGCTGTGCTGAGCTGGGCAGAACTGAGCTGTTCCAGGCTGGACTGGGCTATACTAGGCTGGGCTGAGTTGGGCTGGAATGAGCAAAGCTGAGCTGGGAAGGGCAGGGCAGGGCAGAGTTGGGCTTGGCTGAGCTGGGAAGGGCAGGCCTGGGCTGGGCTGGACTTGGCAGGCCTGGGCTGGGCTTGGCAGGGCCAGGCTGAGCTGGGCTGGGCTGGGCTTTGCTGGGCTGGACTGAGCTGGACTGTGCTAGGCTGGGCTGGGCTGAGCAAAGCTGAGCTGAGCAGGGCTGGGCCGAGCTGGGCTGGGCTGGACTGAACAAAGCTAAGCTGAGCTAGGCAGGGCAGAGGAGGGCAGGGCTGGGCTTGGCTGAGCTAGGCAGGCCAGGGCTGGACTGGGCCGAGCTGGGCTAGACTGGACTGAGCTAAGCTGAGCTGAGCTGGGAAGGGCAAAGCAAGACAGGGCTGGCTGGGCTGGGCTGGGCTGGACTGAACAAAGCTGGGCTGAGCTAGGCAGGGCAGAGCAGGGCAGGGCTGGGCTTGGCTGAGCTAGGCTTGGCTGAGCTGGGCTCAGCTGGGCTCAGCTGGGTTGCACTAGGCTGGATTGGGCTGGACAGGGCTAGACAAGACTGGGCTGAGCTGAGCTGAGCTGAATTGGATTGGCCTAGAGGAGATCTGGGGTTAGTTGGGATGGGTTTGGCTTGACTGGGCTGAAGTAAACTAGGCCGGGCTAAAATGAGCTGAACTGAGTTGGGCAGAACAGGACTGAGCTGGGCTAAGTTGAACTGAGCTTGGCTGGGCTGAGCAGAAATGAACTTGGCTGAGCTGGGCTTAACTGGGCTGGGCGGGCAGGGGTGGGATGGGCAAGGCTTAGCTGAGCAGGAATGAGGTGAGTTGGGCTGGGCCAGGCAGGGCTGGGTCAGGCAGAGCTGTGTCAGGCAGGATTGGGCTGCTAGGCTGAGCTGGGCTGGGCTGGGCTAGGCTGGGCAAGGCTGCATTGAGCTGAGCTGAGCTGAGCTGAGCTGAGCTGAGCTGAGCTGAGCTGAGCTGGGCTGGGCTGGGCTGGACTGGGCTGGACTGGGCTGGATTGACATTATCTGGGCTGGAATGGGCTGGGCTTAGCTGGGCTTAACTGGGCTGGGCTTAGCTGGGCTGGCATGAGCTGGGCTGGGATGGGATGGGCAAAGATGGGCAGGACTGGGCAGGGCTGAGCTGTGCTAGATTGGGTTGGGCTGGGTTGAGCTAGGCTGGGCTAAAATGAGCTGAATTGAGTTGGGCAAACCAGGGCTGAGCTGGACTGGGCTGTCTGACTGCAGTGAGTTGGTCTGAGCTGGCCTAGATGGGTCGGGCTTGGCTGGGCTGGGCTATGCTGTGCTGACAGGGCAGGGCAGGGCAGGGCTGGGCTGGGCTGGGCTGGGCTGGGCTGGGCTGGGCTGACCTCTACCCCTTTACTGGGTTGGCTTGAGCTGGGCTGAGCTGGGCCAGGCAGGGCTGAGTTGGGCAGGGCTTGGCTATATCAGGCTGAGCTGGGCTGAGCTGGGCTGAGCTGAGCTGTGCTGGGCTAGACTGGTCTTATCTGGGCTGGGCTGGGCTGGGCTGGGCTGGGCTGTGCTGGACTGGCCTAACTGACTCACCTGAATGAAAAGTACTAGAATTCGCTCTGTAGACGGCTGGTTTCTCCTAAGGGTACGGTTTCTGGGGTGGGCTTAGCTCAGCAGGAAGTGGTGTCCAGATGAGATTTTAAAATAAATAAATAAATAAATAAATCTGAGTGAAGTTGAGATAACCTGGGCAGGTTTACCCTGCTTGTGTGCAGCAGGGCTGAATTGATTGACCTTGAGCTAAGCCGACAGGTGCAGCTGGCTCAGTTGAACCAGGTATTGCTGCACCTCATATCTGGATGCTATAGCCCATATCTCTGCCTCATTAGCTGGGCCCCAGATCCCATCCAGTCATGATCACGGCTGTATACTTCCTGACAAGAGCCATTGAATGCAGAGCGAGGGGACAGAACTGGACAGGGCACAGTGGCAGGGCTGCGGGGACCCTCTCCGGAGAGAGTTCTGTGGAAGTCCAGAAAAAAGAAATTAAGACCAGGTGCTTGGCAACAGAGCCTCAGCAAGCAGCAGTGGGTTAGGGGAAGGGGTCCAAGGGGCCTGGACAAGGCAGGGGGATCTGCCACCGCCACTCCTAAGAGCCCCCAGAGCTAGTATCCCTAGGAACCCAGTCTGACTCAGCAACAGCTTGAGAGGGCATGTAGGGGTCTTGTGGCCCCACAGCATGGAAAGCAGCAGAGGCCAGCATGAAGACCACGCTCCTAAGCCAGCTGAGCTGAGCTAGGCTGGGGTAGGGCCCTGTTACCTAGTCCCTGCCAAGGCCCCCCATGCTGACCCAGCCCTCTTCCCCTCATCCCTGCCAAGGCCCCCCATGCTGACCCAGCCTTTTCTCTTCCCCACCCCCAGTCTCTGCCCAGGCTCCCTCTGTCTACCCCTTGACTTCATGCTGCAGAGGGTCAGCTGCCATGGCAGCCAAAGTGACATTGGGCTGCCTTGTCAAGGGCTTCTTCCCAGGACCAGTGGAAGTGGCCTGGGACACAGGTACCCTGAACCACACCGAAATGACTTTGCCAGCTGCCACCCTGGACTCAGGCCTCTCCACCACTGTCAGCCAGGTAACTGCCATGGGTGCCTGGGCTAAGCAGATGTTTACCTGCCACGTGGTGCATGCTCCAACCACAACCCACACCAACAAGACTTTCCGAGGTGAGCACCTAAGGGGCGGACAGCCAAGCATGCCTGGTGTGCTTGGGACCTGGCTAGCTCACAGCTCTGCCCCTCCCATCCACAGCATGCAGGGCTACCTTCACGCCGCCCACAGTAAGGCTCCTCCACTCCTCCTGCGACCCTCGGGAGAAAGCGACTTATGCCATCCAGCTCCTGTGCCTCATCTCTGGCTACACCCCAGGACACATTGAGGTCACCTGGCTGGTGGACGGACAGAAAGCCTCCAACTTGTTCTCCTCCATGGCACCACCCAAGCAGGAAGGCAAGTTGGCATCCACCTACAGCGAGCTCAATGTCACCCAAGGCGAATGGGCATCACAGCACACCTACACCTGTAGGGTCGCCTACCAAGGCGAGCTCTTTGAGGCCCATGCCCGGGAGTGCACAGGTGAGGCATGCTGCCCAGACACCCTGGGGCCCTGAGAGGAGGGGTGGACAGGGTCTCACACAACCCCTCCCACCACAGCTTACGAACCCCGCGGCGTGAGCACCTACCTGAGCTCCCCTAGCCCCCTCGACCTGTACGTCCGCAAGTCACCCAAGCTCACCTGTCTGGTGGTGGACTTGGCCAGCGAGGAGGGCGTGAGCCTGGTCTGGTCCCGGGAAAGCGGGGAGCCTGTGAACCCCGACCCCTGGAAGGCCAAGAAGCAGTTCAATGCCACGGTCAGCATCACGTCCACCCTGCCAGTGGATGCCCAGGACTGGATAGAAGGCGAGACCTACACGTGCACCGTGACACATCCCCACCTGCCGACGGCCATCGTGCGGTCCATTTCCAAGGGCTTGGGTGAGTCCCCGGCCGGGCAGGTGGGCAGGCCAGGGGCAGGGAAGGACTCGCGCTGACTTGGACTGTCCACAGGTGGGCGTGCTCCCCCCGAGGTACACCTGTTCATGCCACCCGAAGAGCAGCAAGAGAACAAGGACCTGCTCACTCTCACCTGTCTGATCCAGAACTTTTTCCCGGAGGACATCTCAGTGCAGTGGCTTCTCAACGGGCAGCCAGTGCCCAGTAGCCAGTTCAGAACCACTGAGCCCCTCCTGACCAGCAGCTTCAACAAAACCTACTTCATCTTCAGCCGCCTGGAGGTCAGCCGGACCGACTGGCAGCAGGGGAACGAGTTCACATGCCAGGTGGTGCATGAGGCACTGCCCGGCACCAGGATCCTGGAGCGAACCGTGTCCAGGCAGCCCGGTAATTGAGCCTGCTCCCTCACCGGGGCCCCGTCCAGCTGGGGCAAAAGCCAAGGGCTGGCCAGACCCTTCTGCTGCAGTGAGCTCACTGCAGACAGCCCAATAAACACTCCAGTATTGTTGTTCAGGCCCTTAGGTGCCTGTTCTTGGGGGGTTGGGTGTCGGCGCAGAAGAGCGAACCCCAGGGAGATGGACTGGTGGGCGTCAGATGGAGCTCAGCCTGCCTCTTTCAGGGCTCACCCCTCAACAAAGGGGCCCTCCCGGGCCATCAGCCCTGGCCTCCACCCTGTGGGCAGGAGCAGCTGTGAGGCTGCGCTCAGGCACAGGCATGCTGGCCGCACCTGTGTGTACACAAGAGCTGGCAGCCTCTCCCTGTCAGTGTGATGCAGAGTTGAACATGGGACACAGCCACACACTGCATGTATACACATGTACACATGCACGAGGACGCACATGTCCACAGATGTGAACACACATGCTCTGGCATGCACACTCACACACATGCACATTCATAGTCAGATGCATGCACTCCTGACATGCACACACACCCATTCTACTCTCCACCAAGCACAAGCCAGGAGCTGGCTGCACAAAGGGGCTCATTCTGGAGTGGACTTGGGCGGGCCACATCATGTACACATCTGGCTCACAGCACACGCCCAGGCTCCCTGCACAGCACCCCTCGGCTTGTAGGACCAAGGGAAAGCCATGCGTCAGGCTCTCAGCCCTACCCACAGCTCTACCAGGGAGGAGCAGCACATACTACATCCAGCCAGCACTTCTGATCTGCAGACAGGCTCATCTTCACACCCCAGCCAGCACTGACACTGGTACTGGGTCAGACCTCAGGTAAGGACCATGGCCAGCCTGCATCTCTGGGAACCAAAAACGCAACCAGTACCAGGGTAGGAGCAGGAGGGTACCAGGGCAGGTCAGCTCAGAGTAGGCCATGTGTGGGCCACTCTGGACTCTCAGGCTGGGCCCTGAGTCCACAGGCCATGACCAATGTGTAGGGGCCCTCAGTCACTGGCTGTGAAGGTGGCCTCCGTGTGCACTTAAAGAGGCCCCAGACAGGAAGGGCAGCATGAGGACTGGACAAAGGGTGTCCTGAGGGGCGCTGTGACAGCTGTGTAGATGGGCTGTGGACAGAGGGTGTCCTGAGGGGCGCTGTGACAGCTGTGTAGATGGGCTGTGGACAGAGGGTGTCCTGAGAGGTGCTGTGACAGCTGTGTAGATGGGCTGTGGACAGAGGGTGTCCTGAGAGGTGCTGTGACAGCTGTGTAGATGGGCTGTGGACAGAGGGTGTCCTGAGAGGTGCTGTGACAGCTGTGTAGATGGGCTGTGGACAGAGGGTGTCATGAGGGACGCTGTGACAGCTATGCTGGCCTCAACTGGGCAGAGGTGACCAGCAGCCAGGAGAGCGATTATGAAAAATGGAAGGAAAGAAAATGCAGGATTTCTGACACTAGAAGTCAGCCCAGACCTGCCCCCAGGGCAGGAGAGGGCCAAGGACGGGAATGGCTACCCTTTGGCCACAGGGAACTTGAGCCATCTGTCCCTGGCTGGCTAGTGGTCCTGGGAAGCCCTGGGAGTGATGCCTCTCCTCACCTGGCAGCTGACTGACTGGTGGACCCCCCAGAGCTGGACCTCCAGAACCTGTGTACAGAGGGGCCCGAGAGCGAGGAGCTGGACGGGCTATGGACCAGCACCTGTGTCTTTGCCACCCTTTTTCTGCTAAGCACCAGCTGCATTGCCAGCGTCCTGCTCATCAAGGTGGGTGTGGCCAAGGGCGGCATGGGAGCTGGTCGCGGCTGCAGAGCCAACCTCATACCATCCTCCCCCTAGGTGAAATGGGTCTTGGCTGCAGTGATGCCGGAATTGCCTGCCGCCTCCCATGACTACTCCAACATCCTCCATCTGGGGGCCTAAGTCAGGCCTGCAGCAGCCTACAGGGACGGTTCGGGCCATGCTCCTGTATCTCCAGCTCCCTAAAGCCCCTGCCCTGCCCGTGGCAGTAGGGGAACACAGAGACCGCCATCACTTGATGGCAAGTGCACCAGAGCCATCCACCAGCTCCAGCTCAGCCCCTGGACCAAGGCACAGGAATGTGTGAGGCCAAGCCCTGTCCGGCCCTGCCATGCCCAGCCTAGACAAGCTCAGCCCAGCCCAGTCCTGCCCAGCCCAGCCTGTCCAGCCCAGTCCTGCCTAGCTCAGCACTGCCTAGGTCAGCCCTGCCATGCACAGCCCAACCCTGCCCAATCCAGCCCTGCCTAGCCCTGCCCAGTCCTGCCCTGCCCTGCCCAGCCCTGCCCAGCCCTGCCCAGTCCAGCTCTGCCCTACTTAGCTCAGCACTGCCTAGGTTAGCCCTGCCCAGCCCTGCCCAGCCCTGCCCAGCCCTGCCCAGTCCTGCCCTGCCCAGCCCTGCCCAACTCTGCCCTGCCCAGCCCTGCCCAACCCTGCCCTGCCCAGCCCTGCCCAGTCCAGCACTGCCCTACTTAGCTCAGCACTGCCTAGGTTAGCCCTGCCACGTCCAGCCCAGCCCTGCCCAGTCCTGCCCTGCCCAGCCCTGCCCAACCCTGCCCTGCCCAGACCTGCCCAACCCTGCCCTGCCCAGCCCAGCCCTGCCTGTCAGGATTGATTGAACAGACAACGAGAAGATGCTTAATAGAGAACTGATTTTATTAAACTGCACTGCTGCCATCATCCATGCTTTCAGAATTACGTCCTTTGTCTAAGTACATATAGACTTTTATATCCCAAAAAGCTGGGGTGTCAAAGCTCTTGTTACAAAGGCGAGGTTATACAAGCTTCTGTTAGTCACTCTTGGGTGGAACTAAGAGCCTCTAGTGTTGGCTTTCCTGTGTTACTTAAACTTGAAGAAAGCCAAAAGGGAAGGGCAACATAGCCAACCTGAATAACGGGAGAGAGGAAATAGCCTGGGCGGGGTGGGGGCGGGGGCCTTCTAACAACCAGAGACAGATAGGAAGGAGCGACAGCATTGGGCCTTGGTTGCTCCAACAGAAACCATCACGCCAAGTGTTCTTGGCTTATGGTAAACCTCTGGCCCACACTCAGCTCCTTCAGATCACCCTGTCTTTTTCATTTTGCAGCATTACTTTGCACGTCAATGATGGGTTCTGATTTGGATTCACAAAACTCACCTCCAGACTACAGAAAAGCAATATAAGCAAATAAGACTTAGTGCAAAAGTAGCTAACTATTAAAGGGATTTAAGACAGAAATGTCATTGGCAAAGTTTTCTCGTGAATAAGTCCCTGAAATTTCCTTTAGTTGTTTTTCAAAAGTTTCAGAAACAGAAGTCTGTGATCACACAGTTTCAGCAGTGACATTGCCATGGTTTTTCAAATGACGCTAAACTGTATCCCATCTCCTCACATTCTTTCCCCAGAAGAATGGACCCAAACTGCTGCTAGGGATGAGGGTGATGACCACTCTGGCTGCTTCGTGCTGCAAAGACGAGACAACAGAGCAGGGTCTTCAGGGGTCGATCTAGAGGTCCCTGGTAGAAGACAAAAGCCAGCAGGTGTCTGCAGTACTACCTGGCGCTTTGAGGCTTCTCTTTGTTGAAGTCTAGACAGCAAAACATAAGGCAGTTAAGATTCCTCCCAAGCTTGCATGTCAGGGTTCAGTTGGAAACCCCAACGTGAATACTTGAGCTTCAGAGCTTAGATGTGAACGAATTGTGAGAGGAGATATTAGATCTGAGCACTTCAGTTGAAGATTTATGAACAATTAACTGATAAAGGCAACAGAACACATGAAGCTCCCCTGAGCTGCACAAAAATTGTAACATACATCAGTTGAAAAGCACAGAAACAATGAAAGGATCAACATTAACATCAGACTATAATCCCATCATATAGGACAGTTAAATACAAGTTTAACTTCAACTTTCCATGATGTCACATCTCTTATAGCATTGGCAGTTCCAAATTAAGAAATATCTATAGAATTATAGAATTCTAACCCAAAATTATTTAGAATTACTTTGCCCTGCCCAGTCCTGCCCAGTCCTACCCAGTCCTATCCAACACAGCACAGCACAGCATAGCAACAACCCAACATAGCACAGCCTACTCCAGCCCTGCCTGCCTGCCCTACCCTGCCCCGCCCTGCCCAGTCCTGTCCAATACAGCACAGCATAACAACAACCCAACACAGCACAGCCTAATCAAGGCCAGCTCAGTCCTGCCCTGCCCAGCCCTGCCTGCCCAGTTCAGCCCTATCCTGTGTCTGCCTGCCCTGGTCCAATCCCTTGCACTCAGCTCCAGCATCCCTGCTCCCAGCCTTCCCCACCATGTCTGCACCCCTCTGGACTGTTAGTCCCTAGTGTGCTTTGGGGAGTGCCTGTGACTGCAATGGGGTGGAACTAAGGATGCAGACCTGCCTGGGCCAGGACACTGAGGGGTTTCTAGCTCGGCCTACATCCCCTGCTGGTCTGCAGCCCAGTGCCACACCCCTACTAGACTTTTAGCCACAGGGGTGCAAGAGGTACCAGGAACTCAGCTGCCAGTCACCAAGGTAGGGACACAGCCCAATCCCCACTGTGTGTCTGAATACAACTAGCCAGTCCCACACCCACCAAGCAGCCCCAGCTAGTGTATGGGCTGAGGAAACAGGCAGCAGAGACCCAACAGCTACCCAGGACATGCTCCAGGTGGCTTCCTATGGGCTCTGCCATCAGCACACCCGAGTGTGCATGTGATCCTGCCAGTATGCATATGAGAAAGTGCATGTGGCCCTGACCATGTGCATGTGTATCTGCTGACCATGTGTGTGTGCCCTGACTTTGTGTGTGAGTGTGTGTGTCCCAACCATGTGTGTGTATCCCTGACTCTGTGTGTGTGCCATGACCACATGTCAGTGTGTGTGCCCTGACCATGTGTGTGTGTGTGTCCTGTGTATGTGTATCTCTGACAGTGTGTGACTGTGTGTGTCCTGACTGTGTGTATGTATATCCCTAACAGTGTGTGTGTCTGTTCTGACTGTGTGAGTGTGTGTGCCCTGACCATATGTAAGAGTGGGTGCCAGTATTTTATGGGAGCTGAATTGGTTGGGAGTGAGGGTACCAGGCCATGTCCTGGACTGGCCACTGAGTTGCTTGGTTAGCTTTGCTGATCACCTGAGAAAGAAAATACCAGCCAAGTACAAACAGGCCTTTATTATGCAAAGAGAAGTCCGTCCCTGGGCCTTTCCCGTGCGGTGCAGGAAAGAACAGGAGAGGAGAGGACCACAAGTGGGAAACACAAGCTGGGTAGTGGAGACAAAGGTTTTATACCCCCTGACGTGGGTGCTGACATCAGCCCTGCTTGGGTCCAGATAGGATAGGGAATGTTGGCCTTTGTCCATCATTGGCCCGTACCTTCGGGGCATGCCAGATCTCTGGCTGAGGTCACTGTGGTGTCCACCCACTTCCTGTAACCGCAGTAACCATCAGCTTGGTCCTAGGTGTTCTGTCCCAATGGGCAGGTGTCATTCTTGGATGGGGTCTGGCCCTCAGAGGATCCTGGTCAATGTGACACCACAGCAGGGGCCCTGACTGTGCAAGGCTGTCTCCCAGGGCCAAAGTCGCAAGTGGGCTCCCTAGTCAAATGCTTGGTCAGCAGTCACGCCACCACCACATGACCTTAACCCTCCACAAACCCTACCAGGCCATACCAGGTTCCGGGTCACCACAGCCAACCCCACACAGGCCCACTAGGACACACAAACAGACACGGTCAGACCTTCACATCCACAACCACACGCACATGCACACAGCCTCAGGAGGGCAGTCCCAGGCCCTGCGAGGCCCCAGGCCCCACACCAACCACACACACACACACACACACACACACACACACACACACACACACACATATGCACACAGCCTGGGAGGGCAGTCCCAGGCCCTGCGAGGCCCCAGGCCATGATTGCTACCCCTCTCTCTCTCTCTCTCACACACACACACACACAGACATGCACACAGCCTCAGGAATACTCCCAGGCCACCACTGCCACCCACACACAGGCCCACTAGAAAACGTTCACACCCTCATACCCACACATGTGCACACACACGCACATGGCTTTAGGAGGGCAGCCCCAGGCCTCACACCAACCTCGGGGGCATGCCCTGGGGCTCAGCCCTTCTGGTCCAGGTTCTTGGCAGCCGAGGCCCAGGAGCCTCCTGCCATGACACCCACACAGACCATGAGCTCTCCTCACTGGAGCCCTGTGTACCGGGCCTGGGTACAGGGCACGGAGGGACACATTAATGCATCAGGCCATTGTGTCTGGGAGCAGGGGACAGCTCCTGGGGCCTTACATTCCTGTCTGTGCTACTGACAGTGATGGGGTCCCAGGCAGCCCCCTCCCCAAGCCATATCCTGGCCTGGGGTTCAGCTCTTAGAGAGTCATCAAGGTGAGGACCAGGGGTGATTCCCAAGGGTCAGAGCCATGGCCCCTGCAGCCCAGGGTGGGGGTGTCAGCAAGAAGAACACAAGGCCCAATGCCTGGGGATACCATGGGCTATTCCAGAAACATGGCGGCACCCCTGGTACCCACGGGTGCCCACGAGAGCACAAGGGGCTGAACGCTCAACTGGTAGGCCACAAAGGAAGAACATGAGACAGGTTTCCATTGGGGCGGGGAGCACAGAATGAGACACAGAATGGGGCACAGACTTCCAGGGTTGTGGGGAGCACAGAATGAGACAGAGGCGACAGTCGGAAGGGGAAACACAGGCAACGTTTGCATGGAGGGGACAGACAATGAGGCACAGGTGTCCATTGGTGGGCAGTTGGGATTAGGGGTACATGGGCACAGGCTCCAAGAGGGGACAGGAAATGAGGCGTCCACTAAGGTGGGTAGACATGGGCACAGGTATCTATGGAGGGCCCAGGAGAAGGCCAGAACCTGCCTTGCAGCTGAGCAGCAGTGGGGGATGGGAGGGCAGCTGGAGCCCTGAGAACTGAGAGAATGAGGGAAAAACGAGGTCAGCATGGCCCGGAGGCTGCCCAATCCCGTCCTGCCTGTCAGTGGGTTCAAGAAACTGCGAGTGCGGACTCCAGGTCACAGCAGCCAGAGTCCTGTGTCATATCCCAGAAAACCACAGGCAAAGAAGCCAGCTCTGGAGGGGCAGGACGCTGGCCCAGGAACTCCCTGTCCACCTCAGGCGTGGTTCCCAGCTGGATCTCTGCACCTACATTCTAAATGCTGCTGGAAACAGTGGCCCTGCCATGCCCAGGGGCCACCCCTGGCCTCCCTCTCCATCTCCATCCCTGCCCCAGCCTCTCTGAGCCTTGGTGTCACCTGGGGTCTCTTTCCCTGCATCTCAGCCCACAGCACTCTCCTGGGCCTGGCCACATGGAGCCATGACCCCACTGTGACCCCTGAGATCACACCACCCAGGCCACACACCTGTCCCCACCACAGCCAGACCACAGACCAGACATGATGTGGAAGCAAGCAACAGCTTCTGCCACACCAGCAGGAAGTGGTGAGTGACCCCATCTTGGGGACCACAGACAGTCATCCAGCCCCTCCCCAACCTGCACTTCTCATCCAGCCCACCCACCAATGGCTAAGAGCCAGGACAGCCGCACAGCTTTCCCGAGGAGCTGGACAGGCCCAGCTCCCTCTGCACTCAGCCCCTCTGCATCCAGCAGCCAGGGCAGCAATGACGAATCTGACACTGACATGGACACACAGCACAGTCAGCCTGCACCTCACCATGGGGGATGCTCCACCACCCTAGACAGGTGAGTCCTCCAGGGTCTCAGCCACCACACATGCAGAGTCTCAGCCACGCTGGACCTGAGCATCCTGGGGTGGAGGAGGAACAGGCATGGACAGAGAGGGGAAGGACGAGAGAGCACAGCCAGCACCCAGGCCCCCAGGAAGGACACTGCCACAAACTGAGCAGGCTGGGTCCAGCTGGGCTTGGTGATCAGCCTAGTCCAGCAAGCAGAGCTCAGTTAGGACAAGCAGAGTCACTGGTCCTGGTGACAGGAGCCCTGCCAGCTGACATGAGACTTGGGCTGTGCTGAGACAGACGAGGGGGGGACTTGGGGACACTGAGGGACGGCCACAGCCAGATGGACTGAACTGAGCCCAGCTGTACTCACATGGCTGAGGCGGGCTGAGCTGAAACCGCGATTCTGGATTGAAATGAGCTAGACTGGGGTGAGCTGTTTAGAACAGGCCTGAATGGTGCAAATCTAGATTGAGCTGGGCTGGGCAGAACATGCTAGGCTGGGCTGAGCAGGGCTGGCTGAGCAGAATACAGCTAAACCAAGCTGGCTCTGTTTGCTGGACTAGGCTGAGCTGAGCTGGCTTGAGATAAACTTGACTAAAGGACTGAGCTGTGCCCAGCTCGGCTCACGTGGCTGACTGAGCTGAGCTGCTAGTTGATCAGGCTGGGATGGACTAAATTGGGCTGGCTTAGCTGAGCTGGGCTAGGCTGGACTAAACTGGGTTGAACTGGATTAAGCTAGGTTGACTGGGCTGAGTAGGGCTGGGCTTAGCTGACTTGAGATAAACTTGACTAGAGGACTGAGCTGTGCCCAGCTCAACTCAAGTGGCTGACTGAGCTGAGCTGGCCCAGATGATCAGGCTGGGCTAGGCTGGGCAGAACAGAGTTGTGCTGTGCTGACTGCCAGGCTAAGCTGAGCCTGCTGGCTGGTCTGAGCTGGGTTAAACTGGGCTGAGCCTGGCTAGGCTGGACTGGGCTGAGCTGGGCTGGGATGAGCTGGGTGAGCTGGGGTGTATATAATTGAGCTGAGCTGGGCTGAACTGCACTGGCTAGGCTGGGCTGAGGAGAAGGCTGAGCTGGATGGGCTGAGCTGGGATAGGTAATGATGGATTGAGTCATGTTGATCTAGAATGAGTAGAGCTAAGCTGAGCTGGGCTGAACTGAACTGGGTTGGCCGGGCAGAACTGAGCAGAGTAGGGGTTAGCTGAGCTATGCTGAGCTGGCCTGACCTTGGCTGGGCTGGGCTGCACTGAGTTGAGAACAGGGCTGAATTGGGCAGAGCTGTGTTGAGCTGAGCTGGACTGAGCCTGGCTGACCTGGGCAGGGCTGAGCAGAGCTGAGCTGGGTTGAACTGTGCTGGCTGCCCTAGCTGAGCTGGGCCGAACATGGCTGAGCTGGGCTGAGCTAAGCAGAACAAGGTTTTTCTGGACTAGCTGGGCAGCGCTGAGCTGAGTGGAACTGAGCTGGGCTGAGCTGGGTTGAACTGGGCAGAACAGGACTGAGCTGAGCTGGGATGTGCTTGTTTGAGCTGACTGGCTGGGCTGCCCTGGGCTGAACTGAGCTGGGCAGGGTGAGCTGAGCTAGATTGAGCTGTCTTGGGCTTCACTAGCTGGGGTATGCTATGCTGTGGTATGCTAGGGTGGGCTGGGATGGGCTGGGATGGGCTGGGATGGGTAGAGCTATTTGGGCTTGGCTGGGTTTTGCTAGTCCGGCTTGGCTAAGCTGGGCTTTGATGGGCTTTGATGGGCTGGGCTGAGCTGGGCTCAGCTGGGCTGGGCTGGACTGGACTGGGCTGGGCTGGACTGGGCTGGGCTCAGCTGGGCTCAGCTGGGCTGGGCTCAGCTGGGCTCGGCTAGGCTCGGCTGGGGCTCGGCTGGGCTCTGTCGGACTGGGCTGTGCTGTGCTGTGCTATGCTTTGCTGAGTGTGCTGGGCTGGGATGGGCTTTGCTGGGCTCTGCTGGGCTGGGCTGGGCTGGGATTTGCTGGGCTTTGCTGGGCTGTATTGTGCTGTGCAGGGCTGGGCTGGGCTGAGCTGGACTCTGCAGGGCTGGGCTGGGCTGAGCTGGACTCTGCAGGGCTGGGCTGGGCTGCGCTGGACTGAACTGGGCTGAGCTTTGCTGGGCTGTAGTGGGCTGAGCTGAGCTCTGTTGGGCTGGGATAGGTTGTACTGAGCTTTGTTGGGCTCTACTGGACTTTGCTGGGCTGCACTATACTGTACTGGGCTCAGTGGTCCTAGGCTGAGCTTTACTGGGCTGTACTGTACTGTGAGGGACTGGACTCTGCTGGCCTGTGTTGTACTGTTCTAGGTGGAGCTGTGCTGAGCTGAGTTGAGTTGAGCTGAGTGACTCATGTGTTATGCAGGGCAGATCTGTGCTGGAATGATCTGGGCTGTTTGAGGTTAAAAGAATGTATTGAACTCTCTGGGATGGCCACCCTACGCTTGGGCTCAGCTGAGCTTCCTGGGCTGAATTCACCTGGAACCCAGAACCCCTGGCAGCCAGGCACTGCTGTCTTCCTTAGGGGCACAGCCTACATCTCAGACCCCGTCTGTCATCTCAGAGCCACATTCAGGTTCCTGGCAGGAGCTGCCCTAGGCTGTCCTCCAGGACATGTGGCCTGAGGATGTCCATGGCTGATGATGGCAGGTGGGGAGGCTGGGTGTGGGGTCCAGGCTGAAGTGGGCAGGGACCCTGATCAGATATGGGAGGAAAGGACACAGGTAGGCAGACTCTCAGCTCTCCTCGGCCTTCACCATGTCCAGGCTGCTCTGTCCCTTCACATATCCTGGCCACAAAACTTGGGAGGAGCTTGGCTGTGCACCCAGGGGGCCAGGGACCCTGGGAGCCAAGGACCTGTGATGGCTCCATGACAAAGCCAGGCTGGAGCAACATGGGACTAAGAAGCAAGGTGGGAGTCACCAGACGGCAGGAGTTGACAGACAGTGCCAGGCCCCGGGTTCACGGTCACACTGCTCTGTGACCTGGGCTCATCCTTAGCCACCCTGGTCCAGGGTTCCACTGCAGATAGCGGCAGGGCCCTGACCTCAGGGGCTCACGGGGGTGCAGCCATGTGATAGCCGGTGGTCTCACAGTTGTCCTGTGTTCCAGCTTCTGCAACCAACCCGAGCATCTTCCCGCTGAGCCTCTCTGATCCTCAGTCAGAGACCGTGGTCGTCGGCGTCCTGATCCGGGGCTACTTCCCTGTGGGCCCTCTGAGTGTGAGCTGGAACGTCAGTGGGAATGAGATTAATTTCCCACCTGCTGTATCTGGGAGCCTGTACACCTCATGCAGCCAGCTGAGCCTGCCAAAAAACCAGTGCCCATATGATGTGTCCTGCACCGTGGACCACAACAAATACATCAAGCAGGTGTCCGTGTCCTGCAAAGGTCAGAGGACAGGCTGGGGATGGGGCAGGGACACTGAGGCTCAGGGTGGGTTGCTTTGTTGGAAACCACAGAACAGAGCAGAGAGGGTGGGCAGGCTGGGAAGGAACAGAGAGGAGGCGCACACTGACACTCCTGTCCCTTTCTATTTAAGAAACTTGTACACCTATAACAACTCCACCTCCAACAACCACGATCTGCCCCTGCCCCTCCTGCAAGCCCAACATCTTCCTGCAGCGGCCAAGCATCAAAGACCTGCTCCTCAACTCAGAAGCCAGCATCACCTGCACCCTGAAAGGCTTGAAGAACCCCGATGATGCCGTCTTCACCTGGTCACCCAACACAGGGAAGACACCTGTGCTGCTTAGTGCCCAGGAGGACTCCTGCGGCTGCTACAGTGTGTCCAGCGTGCTGTCCGGCTGTGCAGAACTCTGGAAAGAGGGGAAGACCTTCACATGCACTGTCCAACACCCTGAGATAGAGGGCTCACTGACTGACACCATCAGCAAAGACACAGGTGAGCAAAGACACACACACCCCCAGACGCTGCCAGCTGCCCCACTACCCTGCCCACCTCCTCCCTACAGCCCTGGACTGAGGCTCTACACACATCCTCAGAGGGACCCGGAGGCCCAGTCCTGTCCTGCACGCATCCCTGACACCTCTGTCCCCTCCCAGGGAATGTCATCCCACCCCAGGTGCACCTGCTACCGCCACCATCAGAAGAGCTGGCCCTGAACGAGCTGGTGACACTGACCTGCCTGGTGCGCGGCTTCAGCCCCAAGGACGTGCTCATCTACTGGCTGCACCAGGGACAGGTGCTGCCTGATGACGACTTCCTGGTGTTTAAGCCCCTGCCAGAACCCAACCAGAGTTCCAGCACCTTCGCCGTGACCAGCCTGCTGCGCGTCTCGGTCGTGGATTGGAACAACGGGGACAACTTCTCCTGCGTGGTGGGCCACGAGGGCCTGCCCGAGAACTTCACCGAGAAGACCATCGACCGTCTGTCGGGTAAACCCACCCACGTCAATGTGTCTGTGGTCGTGGCAGACGTGGAAAGTGTCTGCTACTGAGCCGCCTGCCTGCCCTGCCCTGAATAAACTGTGTGCTGGCCCCAGCAGCCCTGCGGGTCCTTGTGCCTGACTGTCTCCCTCAGGGGCTGCAGCCACAGGGTTGGGGAGGGAGAGATCACCCCAGGCCAGGAGCTTGTGGGGGCCTCAGGCACCTCACCAAGCCCCCCAGCAAGCTGTGTGAGTGTGAGAGGACAAGAGTGCATGTGTGAGACAGTAAGTATGAGCTGTGAGTGAGCCTGTGCGGGTGTGCCTGTGGGAGTGTGAACCAGTTTTTGGGTGTGGCTGTGGGAGTATGAACCAGCCAGTGTGGGTGTGCCTGTGGGAGTGTGAACCAGCCTGTTTGAGTGCACCTAGCGTCCGTGAGGGGTATGCACCCATGCCAGCTGAGGCTGAGCTGGGTTGGATCTGTGGCCAGGCAAGCATAGCTCAAGGCAGGGCCCGAACAAAGCGGCACCTCAGGGAGTTCTTGGGTTGCAGGGACATGGCCATTGTCCCTTAGTGAGCCACCTCTGATATAGAGGCATGGGAGGGGTGGCAAGGGAACAAAGGGCTTTATCCACATGTGCTGAGGATGGGCACCAAGCATGTCACAGAGCAGTTTGAGGGTCAACCCAGGCTGAGAAATGCCCAGAACTACATGACAGCTTTGACACCCCTGGGGATGTACCACTCCCAGCCCCACAGCTACACCAAGCACTTGAGAACAGGTGCTCACATGGGCTCACACCTACACACGCAGCCCTGTGTTTATCAGACATTTACGGCCCACTCCCAGCTCTAGGAAGGCAAAGGGCCTCCCTGTCCATGTCCTCAGACAGTTCCTAAAAACTCTCCTGGCCCACTGGGGTGGCCCTGTATGTCCAGCCTTACACAGCATGCCAACCAATTCCACAAATCAGCCGCACACAGCCCCTGCTCCCTAAAAGCCCCCATACTTCAAGCTTCAATCCCTGTATCTACCTGAATGTGAGGCAAACCAGAGGCTGTGGGCAGGGCAAGAGACCACACAACTCACTCAGGCTCCTCCATGGCCTCGGCCCTGCTTGGTGCCCACAGGGCATTAGGGGAGCAAACCTACAACCCATGCAGGCACACCTGGAACCAGGACTTCCACAAGAGAGAGATGGGCCCCCTGCCATTGTCCATGGTGCCTCTGAGGCCACCCTGGGGATCACACTCACCCAGCCTCCTTTCTCAGAGCCCAGAAATGAGAAACTCCATACATGCCCCAGCCACTTGTCCCAAGGGTCAGGTCACCAAGGGCCATGGGGGAAGAGACAGACCAAATGGGGATGTGTCCCCCACAGCAATGCCCAGCCTCCCATGTGGCCAGGAACTGGCCCACAGGAGCAACTCTCTGATAAGTGGGAACAGGGAGAATTAATAGATGCAGAGCAAGCAGAAACATAGATGGATTGTAACATCAAAACAATGGATGGATGGATGATGGATGGAAGGATGGATAGATGGATAGATGGATGGGTAGATGGGGGATGGATGGATGGATGGATAGATGGAGATGGACTGATGAATGAAGGGATGGATGGAGGGAGGAATGGATGGGGATGGATGGATAGATGTAAGGATAAGTGAACAGGCTTGTGATTGGATAGATTAGATGGAAAGGTGGATGCTCAGATGACTAGATGGTTGGGTTGGAGGATTGGTAATGGATAGATGTCTGGAGAGCTTGTCAATGGATGGATGGGTAGGTACAGCTCTAACAGCTTTCATGGTGAGTGCATAGGCAGATGGACAAATAGAAAATAGGTTGAGAAATTATAGACAGATACATTCACATGAATGATGAAACTCTGTCAGACACACAGACTCAGCTCCCATGTAACTGAAGACAGCAATGCCTAGGACCCTGGGCCAGCTCTAGGCCTGTAACGTGGCCCTCCCTGGCCTCACTGGCCACACTCCCTGGGAAACACCCACCCAGTCCTCACACACTGAACCTCACACTCAGACTGCCAGGGGGTGTCAGGTCCTCAATGGCCTAGATCAGAGTACCAGTGTACAGCCATGAATATGGCTGAGCCAAGATCCAGAAGTTGGGAACCTCATCTTGTGGAACAGCCAGGATGGCCACTGGCTCCTGTCCTGCAGCAGGAAAAGCACAACACGCATAAGCCCAACACCCTGGAGCCACGGTTTGTGTCCTCAACCCTTAGAAGCAGCCCGTAGTACTTCTGGTAGCCCCAAGGAACCCAGAAAGGGATGGCAAGGCCCAGGCTGGGCAAGACAGGCAGGCCTTCCTTCTGTATCTTGCAGGTGATCGGGAACCCATCCCCTGGGTGGTGCTGGATCTGCCACCAGACAGCCTAGAAGAGGAGACCCCCGGAGACAGCCTGTGGCCCACCACCATCACCCTCCTCACCCTCTTCCTGCTGAGCCTGTTCTACAGCACCGCGCTTACCATGACCAGCATCCGGGGCACACCTGGCAGCAAAGAGGGACCCCAATATTGACACATAGGCAGGGTGCACAGAGCTGGGTGCACACAACCCGAGGATAGCATGTCCTGTTGTCACCACTGAATGACCCTCAAGAAACTCCTGGCAGGCACTGGATAGGCCTGGGCTCAGAATGGACATTTCCCAGGGACAGGCACTGCAGATTCTAGCACGTCGGCTCAGCTCTGGAAATGACCTGCCAGAACAAGTGGGCAGGGACGCTAGCCACCCTCAGGAGCACCTACTTTGCAAGATGGAACAGCAGCTCCACAACCAGAGCCTGGACACAAGGAAGCAGCTGACCCCCACCCACCTACTCATGCCCAGTCCAATAAACCTCTCCTTCATCAAATGTGCTCGGGTCTGGGTGAGGATGGGCCAGGGATGCAGTGGGGCAGGAGACTGGCAGCTCTGGCCCTGCAACTCAGGAACACGTGAGGAGCACACATGCTGGGCAAGACCTGACCTGACATGGAGGAATCCAAAAGGAATGCTTCACCAGGGTCTGCTCAAACTCTGGTCAAGGTCGTTGAGACATGGTACTGGTCACTTGGCCCAGCCCTGGTCACAGGTCCTGACCTTGACCCCTGGGCGTGACCTCACCTCTCAACCCTATTACTGACCACAGGACTCTGCTTCCAATTCTGGACCCTGAGTTTGCCCACATGTTCCCGGGGACCACAGCTGACCCTCGCTGCATACACAGAATCCCCATCAGGAACACACAGGGCCTGATCAATAAATTGTGTCCACAGCACTGAATCCGGTGACAGATCCTCAAGTGCAGCTCCACATTCTGTAATTCCAGTTCTCAACTCAGGTCCAGATCTGATCACTCAGTTCTGGTCCGAGGTACAGACCCTGGTCCCAGACCACAGCCGGATCCTGACCATGGACCTGGTGGGCAGGCTCACCTCACATACCTACACACAGGTCCAGATCCCCACGTGGGTCACATCACTGCCTGTCCAGGTCATGCGTGCTGATGTGCATTGTAGTGCCCTGGTCCTGCTCAAAGCTCCTGGGCCTGCTCACGGAGCCCTGATCTGCCAAGGTCACTGAGGCCTGGACCGTGACTAAGCCCTGGGCTTGCTCACTGGCCAACGGCTCAGCTCTGCCAGGACCAGCCTAGCTTCTGCCAGGGCCTGCTCAGGCAGCCAGGGGTGCCCCAGTCAGTCAACTCAGCCAGGCTGTCTCTGGGGGACAGAACCACAGCACAGAGGTCCAGAGGACCCGGCTGGTCATCACACTTCCACTCTGCACCTCCCTTCCCCACAGTCAGGGCCAGACTGAAGGGCACATCACTGCCCTCCAGAGACCAACTCCACAGGCTGAACCCAGAACACACTGAGGCGAGACAACCAGGAAAGTCCTGCATCCACATCAGGAGAGCATTGGAGATTGAGCCTGAATTCCACAGAAAGATTGAGCCTGAGTCCTAGGCGCCTAGTCACCTGGATGGCAGATGCCCCACCCCCGCAGGAAAGGTCAGAACTGAAAAGCAGCAAACACAGCAATGGAGAAAGAGAGGCAAGCAAAAAAGAGACAGGGACAGACCAAGTGAGAGAATCATGGGACACAGAGGGACACAAGGATCACTGGATGTCCAGGCCATGGGCTGGGGCTGCAGATAGCACACCAATTAAGAGCCCACATCCCAAATCAACATCCCAGGCCTGGGTGTGATTGCGGGCTCCAATTCTGACACTGCTTCCGGCTCATGTAGCCCATGGGAAGCAGCAGGGACAGACCCAGTGACCTGATTCCTGCTATGCGCAAGAACCTGAAGATCACAGAATGCTCGGGCCAGAGACCAAGGACAAACCCTGTGGGCAAGGGTCCACTCTGGGGCAATGCGCCTGAGCCACAAAACTGTGTGCTTAGGGTGTCCTTGAAACAGCCACAAACTGACCCCTGTTGAGGGTCACACCGTTACCTCCTGATCATGAAGCAGTGGCTGGGGACCACAAAATGAGGTGAGGCCTAAAAACTGTGTGCAATATCAATCCTCTTTTGGGGTCACACTCTTGCTTCCTGATCATGAAGCAGTGGCTGGGCACCATGAAACGGGGTTGTGCTACCAAGCTTGTGCCACATCAATCCTGTATCTTGGCTCTCCACACAGTTCTATAGAAGGTTATGCCACGAGCCTTCTATAGCAATCACATCTCCGCAGAGACAGGAGCCTGCCCTCTGCCTGCCCCGTTTCCATTGTCTCTATCTTGTGTCTGTCTCATTACTGACTTCACCAGTTGCACTTCACGTCCCTCTCCAGCTCTGTTCAGGCATTCACAACATCAACACCGAGAACAAGAAAATCCTGGGAATACATTTAACCAGGACGTAAAAGACTCCTACAGTGAAAATGACAAGACACGAGTGAAAACAATGAAGAAGACTCAAAAAGAGGAGTCACTTCCCATGTTCATGGATCAGAAGAATTTGCTGTGAAAGTAGCCCTGTTACATAACGAGACTGACAGATTCAATGCAATCTCATCAACACACAACTTCTTCCTTCGCGGCTCTGAGAAGATAATCCCCACATTCCTGTGGCAGCACAGTGACCGCCAACAGCAAGGCATTCTGGGACAAAGCAGCAAAGCTGCAGGCGCAGCAATACCCAATGTTAAGACAAACTACAGAGCTGCCAAAATCAAAACAAAGAGGTAGCAGCAAGGGAGCAGTCACTGAGTCCTTCCAGCAGACACCGCAACCAGATAGAAAAACACACACCAACAAACACTGGCCCATGTGCCCAGTGCCACCCTGCACCCTGACAGAAATCCACACCAACAGACACTGAGTGTTGGCACCGTACCTAACACCACCCTGCACTCAAACCCCAGAAAGCAATCCACATGCCAACAGACACTGAGTGTTGGCAAAGATGCCCAATGCCACCGGGCAGGAGGACAGACTCTTCAAGGAACATCATAGCAAGCACGGGCACACACACTCAACACACACACACATGCACACGGGACAGGAACCAGCATTCCACAATTCCCATCCCATACAAAGAACAACTCCACTGGATCCAAGATCTACAGAGCACCCGAACGTGGAGACCACCAGGAGGGAACACAGAAAACACGTCCAGATGCAGGCATGGCTGAGACTACAAAAGCACGGGCCACCAACACTAAACTAGACAGCAGAGAGTCCCTCAAACTAAGATGCTTCTGCACACAAAGGAACACTCAACACAGGGAAGACACAGACAACAGCATGGGCAAAGCATTGGAAAACTGTCTTTCTGACAAGGATTAGTATCCATGTTGCCAGCCATATCTGTATGTACTGGCTACATGCCGTACCCAAAATGGCGCCGGCCAGAGAATCCACATCTTGGTGTTTGGTGCAGAGTCACGTAGCCTTCGCAGTACTGCGCAGGCGCCTAGCGCATGCGCAGTGAGCTGCGGCGCGGCAGGCACATAAACACTGAGACTGACGAATCCAGTCGCCCAGAACCCTGTGTAATCATGACGCCGACCTATCATCGGCGGAGGCGGGGCCAGACAGCACATAAGAGCAGAAAGCCTGCCGGGATCTGAGCCTCTTTCCTCTTCATGTTGCTGTGCACAATAAATTTTACCGCAGAAGGCTTCGCTCGCGTCTGCGTCTTATTGCTGGGCGGTAAGACACGTGGGCGCGACATATTCAGAAAGAACACACCTGCAGGCAGATGTCTAGGTTATACTGTACCTAGGCATGTGTCACACTTCAGGGAGAAAAGCAGCTAATAGTCCCCCACATTCTGGGCCTGGTTAATGACAGATATGTATTAACGATGCCACTGTGCAGACCAGGCAGAACCAAGCTGCAGCACAAGCGGCTGAATGCCAAGGTGAGGGCAGCTGTGCCAACCTGGGCCACAGCACCCACCAACACAGGTAACACCTGGGATGGAGGGGGTAGGCCCAGTAGGTAGGGCTGCAAGGACTCCCCTGATGGACCATTGCTCCACTGGTGAGTGTGAGAGCTGGGACTGGAGACAGACCAGACTGGACAGGGCTACAAAGCCCATTGGCCTGCATGTGAGCTGGGTTAGGGCCCGAGCCAGGCTGGGCTAAGTAACCATATCCACTGGGCAGGTATGAACCAGAGTAAGTGCAGGCTGGCTGGGCTTTGCTGCAGCATCAGCTGGCAGGTGCTGGGACTGGGGACAAGTCCTGGCAGGCTAGACCATAGAACCACCTGCAAGCTGCAAGACCCATACAGGGAGTAGGCCTTGCAGGGAAATTGTGGGCACCCTTCTGATACGCTGCAGCTCCCACTGGTGAGCATGACAACCAGGCCTGGGAGAGGGCTCGGCTAGACAGCTGGTGGCACCCGTCAGCTTGTGTGTGGGCTGGATGGTGGTGTCAGTTGGGCTGAGCTAGGCTCCAACACCCATTGGTGTGTATGAGAACCAAATGGGATGTGGGATGGATCAGACCAGTCTGCTGCACATACCTGCATGCACTGAGTGTGGCCCTGGTGGGAGTTACTGGGATCACTCCAACGGGGCTACAGTTCCTGCTGGGGTGTGTGAGGGCTGAGTGTGTGGTGGGCAGGGTTGGGCTGGGGTGAAGCATCTATTGGTTTGTATATGAGATGGGGCTGGGGACAGAACTGACCAGGTGACTGCAGCACCACTGTGTTTAGGCTGATGTGGGTGATGGACTGAGCCAGAACCCACACTGGCTGACTCACAGGAGTCAGGTCTGGAGTCACCTCGGGCAGGGTTTCTTTGAGGACACCCCTACACACAACGGGATCACTGAACTCAGAACTTTCACCACGGTGAAAATCACAGCCTATGTGGTCTGACCATGGAGTGCATGTGTCAGAACTGGGTCTTCTTGATTTCTGAACCTTGTGCAGAGGATGGCATGCCCAGATGTTCGTGGAGGTCATGACAGCAGTTCATTGAGGCCTGCAGAGGACATCTAGTACGTGGAGGCCAAATAAATCGGACAGCTCTCCCAGTGACAGCAAGTATCTGGGCAAACAGACTCTAAGGTAGACTAAGCCAGTAATGGAACTTGGAGGATTTCCTCAACCCTGGAACAACAAAACCAACAGTGTCTCAGAACTATCGCAACCACTTGAGCAGTGCCCTCAGAACCTGCCCCACATCGGGGACCCTAGGATGACGTCAGGCGGCCGTCCCCCATTCCCAGACACTGATGCGGCTGGGCTGCTGGGAATGGCCCTCTCCCCTTCTCTCCCAAATTTCCCAGGATACAGGAAGGAAAAAGGAGATTGGAGCCAGTTGTCTCATGCACTTTCCCCATTTCTCAACCCTCCCCACCCTAATCGGTGGCCCATATGAGCATGCATCCCTCTCAACCATGCAATCAGCACA